CTGCAATAGAATACAAAGAATAGAAGTCCTTTCATCAGGTTGCTTCTGTGTTTTGAGAACACCTCTGCTTTAAAACTGACAGGATTTTAGCATGGTGTAGTAATGTGTTCTGCTTTGCGCTGCTCTTTTAAAAGAGTATAATTTCACTTTAAAGGATTTTCCTCTAAGTGCTCAGAAATTGTAACTGGGAACACGCTTATCTTACTAGCCAGCTTAAAGCTGGATTTGCCAGAAGGCTTTGAACAAGTAAACGTGACCGAAAACTTGTGTTAAAAGACAATTGTTACTTTAACTTCTTTGAGTGGCTCAGAACCTGGTTAAAGTTCACAAGCTGGGAGACGTTTTTTTCGCCCCCCTTTCCATCCTAGGGATCCAGCTACCCTTGCAGCTGGCCATAAATGAGGACCAGGCTTTGCCACTCCGTGCTTTCACAAGGTATGGTTAGGTCAGCAAAGCCATCAATTAGGCTGTCTGAAGTTTTATCACCAGCGCAGCAGCAATAAGTGCCGGCCCAGAAAGACTTCTGCTCTTCTGCAACTCCTGCGGTTGGCGCCTGTAAAGGCGGGGGTCGTTTGGAGGTCAGTGCCAGCTGGGGCCGACCTCTGCGGCCGAGCAGGGACACCCCGCGCGAGGCGACCGCCTGCCCTAAACTCTGGCACCTTTCAACTCCTTAGAAACCCCCAGTCGCAGGTACATGTGGTTAATATTAGGCCCAAAATAAGCTTTTTTTTTTTTTTTTTTTATCTCAAACCAGGGCAGTTGCCGAGGCTTTTGAGCACTGGTAAAGGCAGTTAGTTGGCTGCAGAGCCTGGATTTAATTTTGCTGGTAATCCAAAAATAACTGCTTGCATATTTCTTATTAGCTTAATGCGCAGCGATCCACATCAGCACAAGCTAAACCAAATTAATTTCCCTAAAATAATTTTTAAACTTGCCTATTCACAGGATTTCTTTCAAAACAGGGCAATTTTCTATCACTCAGGAGCCACGCTTGTTTTTATCCCCCCTCTTTGTGTTTGAGAACACTTTGGAGCCTTCGTGCAGGTTTTGTGTGCTATTTCACAGCTCAGGCTTTCGGCCGGTGACCCTTAAGGAGTGCTAATGAAGTCGAATACTAGTGTTTAATCCTCTTCAGAAATACTAACATGCCCATCATCCAAAACAGCCTCCAATAATTGCCATTGGGCCCGATCCAACACCTCGCAAAGTCTTTCAGTCAGTTAACTGAAAACTAAGTTCATCTGCTCATTTAGTAAATTGCTAGCCTTTATATAGCATCAACTCCGCAGGGCCTTTTGTCGCGCTTCCCGCCCTCCCTCCCACCCCCTGGTTAAATTCCTCTGCAGATAATAAAAGACGGTGGCACACCTTCGATTGCACCTTCCGTAATCACAGTTGTGGAAATTTCATTAGACAGATGCATAAATGCTACAAGTAACACTAAAGGGCTCTTTTGCATCTCTCTGTTTACATCCAAAAGACATTCTTTATTCTTTAGGAAAAGTATAATTCAGTTGTCAGAAATGTCACCCTGCCTCAGAATTACTCATGACTTCAGGTATTAAAATAAAAACTCAGGCACAGTCGATGTACTTGTTTATTCCCTTCTGACTGCAGCGCAGCGAAGGCATCTCGTACCCCAGCACCGTGCTTTCGAGGCGTGTTTCCATCCTCAAAGACAAAGGTCCCCGACAGGACTTAATTTGCTGAGCTACTTTCCAGTAACGTTACCGCGCTGACCAAATGGAGCCTGACCCAAACCTCCTCCCTGCAGCGCGCCTTTTATCAGCTAAAGTTAAGGCCAATAGAGATTAACAGGAAAGCCTGATAAGACTGTTTTCTCTTCTCCTATGAGCTTCTAATGGTGGATACAGATGGCAAGGTTTTAAAGAATGGAATGAACGCTTATTTAGGCCTGTAAAAAATCGCAGACAACAGAAACACCCCCACACACGCACACACTTTCCATCTTACTAACCTCTTTTCTTCAATCAGGCCACTCTTCAGGGAAACCAAATTGCTTTTTCGTTTTTTATTTAAACCCCAACCACTTTTATTATTTACATCTGGTGGTCCCCTTATTTATGTCCCTCTCCACTTCCCTGCACACACACCCTGGCTCACAGGGCTGCGAAGCATTATGGGCCTTGGCTCTCAGCGGGAGAACTCGACACTGTCTTCAAACAAATAATTAAGGGGAAGGTTAAAGGTTCACCCAGAGGTCATACCTTTGGATACTCCTCAGAAAGTTTACATTAGTAAGAAATGGGTGCCCTCTGAAGTGTTCTTTCAATGGGCTCGCACAACGAGGCAGAGCATTAAGAAAATTTTAAGTCCTGAAGGGTTTCAGGTGACAACTCCTTTGCCTCTGTGAGCACGCAGATTGGGGTACTCCACTCCAGCCTTACGTATCCGACAGCCACCACAGAGTAGGGACGGGTGTTGAAAACCCAGTCTTGCCCGGCCATTCACTCCCAAAGAGCTTGGCCTTATTTTACTCTGCTGATGTGAATAAAGCCAGCCTTTCACTGTGCACTCTAGAGGCAATTCACTAGTTGTTTTGGAAATGAGAGTTAAAGCTCTAATAGAGAGTCTCCACATCTTTGTTTCCCTACAGAAAAAAAACAGCGACAAAAGTGATCGCATTTGTCCAGTAAAGCTTGCAAAAACCAGCGCCTGGGCTTGATTTCCAATTTTATTATTTCTCCATTTTTCTTCTGCACATGTGCATAACTGCAGGTGCAACTGATGTCCTCTAGACCAGCAACACTTTGTCTGAAGAGAAGATATACTGTCATGTACTTAGAAAGATATAGGAGCACAGAAGCTTTAGGTATCCAGATCACTCTGAAATTCCATTTCTGTAACTCCTCTGAAAAATCCTGTCCATAAACAGCATCAGTTATACCCACCAATGAGTATGACTGAAAAATTACATATGAAATTATTTATATTTGCAAAATTGCAGGTGAGAAACAGACATACATTTCAGTTGAAGCTAAAATCAGATCCTAGTTTCATTAGCAGTAGCTACATCATGTAATGCATCAGCACAATTGGTAGACAAGGGCACAAAATGCAGTGTTTGTGGATTATTATTTATTCTTTATACTGTGCCATAAATATGCACACTGCATAATAGAGACATAGAAACCATAGTCCCTGCCCTAGCCTTTACATTTTTTGAGGGGTTTTTTTGAATCCCTCAGGGAGCCATCTCCAGGACCAAAGTAAAGCAAAACACAGCCTTTTGCATTTCAGTTTGTGCCCTGCAGAAACACCATGATGTTATTTTGGCATAAATGTCTTCAAAAGGCATTAAGAGACAGGTGAAAAAGGAGAACACCAATGCCACTACTTCCAGCATTATGTGGAACCCTGTAAAAGAAGAAATCACAGCTCTGCTCCTGAAACTAATTGCTTGCCTTGTTCATACCCTTCACCCAGAGGCCAGAGATTGAATGGCCTGAAAAGATGAGTAAAATCTATCAACAAGACATGGATTTCTTTGTTACTCTTCTGTTAATAGTAATTCCCATTATTTGGATGATAGCAGCAGTTAGAGGACCCAATGAAGCTCGGTCTTACGCCACCCCATGCTGCACAAGCACACTGTCCAAGAGAATTCAGGGTCTGAACAGATTTCCAGGCGAAGCCTGGGGGAGAGGAGAGACACCTTCTCCCTGTTTGCAAAGACGAACGGAGACAGAAGGAGATTAAGTGACAAGGCCAAAGTCATACAAGAGATCTTTGGCAGAGCCACACACCCAACATAGATTTCCTCAGTCCTCTTTCAGCGCTCCTACAATCTGCTATCCATATGCTATCTTTCCTTTGTTCCCCAGCTTAGCAGTCAGGCACACTGGCAGGGGACTGCAGGGAGAGCTCACATTGCCACTGTTTGTGCCTTACCTGCTGTGTAGATAAAGAGGGGTCATCAGCCTCTAGGGCTGTGAGGCCATACCTTCACAAACTCTACATTCATACGGTGCTTGGTCCTCATTCCAGAATGATAAATGAGGTGTGTAATGTTGAGATATACATGTCATTGACATAGTACGTTTAATGAAAGTCTCGCTTCCAGCATTTTGCAAATGACAGATTACCGACCTCGCTTATTCAAACAATAGCCGTTTGAATCGAGAGAAGGTTTTTTGCATCTTGTATTTTTCTTTAATTGTTACCTAAAGCAGCCACATATATTTCCTATAGCCAGTCTGTCTTTCGCACACAAGTAGTTCTGGGAACTTTTGTGGGACAATTTATGAAAGCACAATGAACAACATTTGGCTCAAAACGCACAACAATATGGACTTTTAAAAGAAGTAATTTCATTTTTATCTGCCTCCAGCAAAAACCAGTAGAGCAGTAAAGGTATACTAGTGAATATGCAGTGTAGTCTGGTGATTTGGTAGCCCTAGTCCTAATTGGTTCCTACCATTGCTAATTAGCATGACAATATAATCTAAATATATGCATTTAATTGCATCTCTTCAAATACAGCCTTGGTTTTCTTTGTCCAAAATAAACGTGTATTCTGTATTTTATAGGAAGTCCTGTAAATTAATCTTTATATATTTATCATATTTTATCTCATCATATCAAATGATGTTAAACTCACGCTTACATAATACATTTTATTTTTATAATAAATAATGTTCAGACAAAATCGCAGAGAAATATTTCTGCGAAGAGCAAAAGAAAAAATAGCAAATAGAAATCTCTTAGTCTGATTGCTCAAATCTGGCACATTAAAAAATAATTTTGTTGTTGTTTCCACTGTCTTTTTTATACACACTATACATGTATTTCAAAACACTGTGACCACTTCATGACTGAATATGAGTAAGATTAATTCTTGAAATGAACTGTTAGTGGCTGTACTGACTGGTAATCAGAATTAGAAACATCTCCAGCTTTACTCTACAGCTATCATGGAAAATTCACTTTAAGTACGTAGGGTCACAACGGGTCTTGTTTCAGGAGAAGGAAGTGCATGA